ATTAACTGGGATCTCTATATTAAAAAAGTGATGATGTAAATCAATCTATCAGTTTTCTTTTAAAGATATTTGAAAACCTATTAGATCAGCATTCTCCATACAAAAAACTAACTAAACAGCAAGTTAAACTTAAATCAAAACCATGGATCACCAATGGCATGCTTAAATCTATTTCTATTAAAAACAGACTATATAAAAAATGCACAAATTGTAAAAATATTAGTACTAAAAAATAAACTGTTTTCTAAATTTAAACTTTATAGAAACAGAATTAGCAATCTAACTATATCAACTCTCCAAATTCTAAATCGTTCTTGATTGACTCTGTCACAGAGAATGAAATTTCCAATCTTATTAAAACCACCCTTAGAACTAGAAAAAGTTTTGTCCCTAATAGTCTTCCTACATTCCTTCTTAAACTTATTCCAGACATAATTTCTAAACCTTTTAGTGTTATTATAAATAACTAATTTCAAAACGGTTTATTCCCAGATGCTTTCAAAGTTGCTAAAGTCATTCCAATATTTAAAAAAGGTTCTACAATGGATATGTGTAACTACCGTCCAATCTTTCTTTTTTCAAACTTAAGCAAACTCTTTGAAAAAGCTATGCATAAGAGGCTCTATGCATATTTGAATAAATTTAAATGTCTTTACAAACACCAGTATGGGTTTCGTGCTAATCATTCCACAACTTACTCACTTAATAAAATTACTGAGTCTATTAGAAAAGCTCTTGACGATAAAAGCTTAGCATGCAGTGTCTTCTTAGATCTACAAAAAGTTTTTGATACAGTAGATTATTCTATCCTACTATAGAAATTAGAATATTATGGAATCAGAGGAATACCTCTTAAATGGTTTACTTTCTATCTTCACAACAGAGCTCAGTTTGTCTCAGTCAATGACTCAAAATCTACCCAAATAAATTGTTCCAACGGTGTCCCTCAAGGCTCAGTACTAGGACCACTACTTTTTCTTCTTTATATTAATGACCTTAATAACTCAATTAAGATTGCAACTCCTTATCACTTTACTGATGATACTAACTTGCTCATTATCAACAAATCTTAAAAAAAAAATTAACAAATACATTAATCATGACCTTGTCAATTTAGTTCAGTGGCTTCGGTCAAATAAGCTTTCTCTCAGCTGTAGCAAAACTGAACTGGTCATATTCAAATCTAATAAAACAAAAATCAATAAAAATTTAAACTTTTGATTAAGTGGCCAGAAAATCATTCCTGTAAACTCTATCAAATATCTTAAAATTATCATTGATTCCAACCTATCGTTTGTGTCCCATCTTAAAGACTTAGCCATAAAATTGAGCAGATCAATTGAAAAGTTCGCCATAATGTCAATCTGGAAACACTATTAAATATATATCATGCCATTTTTGGCTCACATATAAGATATGCTTGTCAAATATGGGGACAATCTCAACAGCAAGAAGTTTTAAGGATATCCCATTTTTAAAACAAAGCTATAAAAATAATACATATTCAAAATTACAAATTCAATCCTAATATGTTTTATCTTACTTCTAAGATCTTTAAACTATGTGACCTTGTTCAATTCTTGAATTGCCAATTTGTCTGGAATCACCAACACAAAACCTACCTTTTACCTTCAACAATTTCTTCCCAAAAAATGCAAATAACCGTTACTATCTTCGATCAATTGATAATCTGAATCTTACAAAACATCTTTCTGTTACTAATGGATATAAATCCATAAAAAACCAAAGTACAAAATCTTGGAATAACCTTCCCTATAACCTAAAAGCTCTCCATTCAATCTATATTTTCAAGAGTAACTTATTCCATTCTTTCCTAATCAAATACAGTTAATAAATCCAAAGGTATGTATTTGTGTTTAAGTGTTTGTGATAAGCGAATGTGAATAAGTGGTATGTGTATATGTATGCATGAATGTGTATGTCTGTATGTGTATGTTTTTATATATTTATATGTGTATATATGTGTGTATGTGTATGTAAGTATATATATATATATATATATATATATATATATATATATATATATATATATATATATATATATATATATATATATATATATTAAGTTTGTATTTGTGTATGTATATATATATGTATGTATATGTGTATGTGTGTGTGTATCAGTGGCGGAACTACTGGACGCAGGACCCTGCATTGCGGGGGGGGGGGGGGGCTTACCAGCTATAGGGGGCCCTCATATAAAAAAAGTTATACTCTCAATAATATTTATACTATAAAACTCTTTTCCGCAAAAAAAACATTCTTTTGCGGGGGGGGGGGGGGGGGGCAAATTTTGAAGTTCCGCCACTGGTGTGTATGCGAATATGTGTTGGTGTATATAATATATACATATATAATATTATTAAATGTGTGTATATGTATTTATGTTTGTATATGTGTATGTATGTGTTTATGTATGTGTGTATGTATATGTACGTGTGTGTATATACGTACATTTGTGTATAGTATATATGAATCTACATATATGGCTGTATATTATGTTTGTATACAATTAATGTATACATACCTGTATTGAATACAGAGGGATATAAGTATATGTGTTTATATGTATACGTGAACGTAAGTGTGTATGTGTGTTTGTATGTGTGTTTTTGTATGTATCTGTATATATGTGTATGTGTGTGACTAATACTAAATTACTATTATTTTTTTTATGATTATTGTAATAATTTTTATTTCTGTCATTTTATTTTTATTATTATCGTTTTACTTTTATCATTGTATTATTATCATTGTTACAACTTCAACTTTTATTATTATTATTATTATTATTATTATTACTGCTATTATTATTATTGTTATTGCTATTATTGCTATTATTATTATTGCTATTATTATTATTATTATTATTATTATTATTATTATTATTATTATTATTATTATTTTGTATTACTACTATATTAATACTAATATCATTATTTTTTGTTTAAAAATCTTTCTATTTTTTATTTTTTTTTATTTTTCTTGAGAATTTTATGTTTTTCAGGTGTTACTCCATTGACTAGTTTGATATTATATGAGTGACACTTAACTAAATTCGGCTAATTTACGATTAGCATTTGTAAATTTTTATTGATATGGTTGAATTAAAAACAAAAAAAAAAACAAAAAAAAAATCACCAATATAAAAGTATAACATAAATGTTTTTTTTTTTTACGAAACTTAATGAATGCCAAAAACTTTTTTTTCTCAAAGCAAAAGTTTTAACACGGTTTTTATTATAAAACTCGAGCTTTTGTGTAACTCGAAACTTTTTTGTAACCTGTTTTGTGTATCTTGTTTTTCTTGGTCTCATTTTATCTCAAACGTCAATATCACGAACTTTTTGGTATCGCTAAAAATACTTTTTTTAAAAATGGTTTTACTGTTGACTATGCCAGTTTGCTCTTGTTATCTCAAATTTTTCAATAAATTTTTTCAATAAATGATAATGATCGAATGTTAATGAAAACATTCAATTTTTTTAAATCTAAATTTTCGAAAATTTGATTTTAAAATTCGCTTTTTTTTTTTAAATATAAATTGAACTTCTGAAAAGAATTCCTTTAAAATTGATTGTTTATGATTTACGAAAAAATACTAGTTAAACGAAAACTTATTAACAAACCTAAAATAGGAAAAAGCAATCCAATGGAAGAAACTCCCCCTAACACTACATCTGTCCTTGGATCTAATTCCATGGATGAAGGCGTAATATATAGCTTTAAAGCTAATTATTGTCGCAAAATTACGCGTCTGTGTGTCAAGGCTATCAATATTAACAAACTCATACCAAAAATTCTTCAAGAAAAGAAAGATCTCATGCTTCTTGGAATGCTGTTTTAAAGGAGACTGTCATCAATTGTTTTAATAATTTCGTATCAGCAACACAAACCAGCAGTGAGCAGCCGTGTCGCAGTGGTTAAAGCGCTTGCTTCAGAAGTAAGAGATGCAGGGCCCTGAAGCGAGTTCATGGCATATTTTGCGCCATTGGTAAAAAAGGAAGTGTAAACTTTCGAGTTAAATGTTCTTCCGCGGTGTTCTGTGACAATACCATTAGACTATTTTGGGGCACCTAAAACAAAAATAAAAAAGTAATGACGATAATCTATTCATACAGAAAGTTTGCAAGAATTAGATCCAAGTGCCGTCCATAAATAGCTCTCAACATCGACTGTAGTTAACAAACACAAAAATGCATCAAAATTTAGTTTTTCTCAAACAATCATCAAATAATAAAAAAAAGCATTCTAGTTTACTCTTTAAAATACTTTAAATTTCTTTCAAGCGAAGTTTTTATTTGTAATTTCATTTTGGATTACTGCCGCAAAATGTTAGGCACAACTTTTTACCTACCATGTGATAGTACGATAAAATCTCTTAATACTACATGATTTAAAAACGTAATTTATATGCTTTGACATCTTTTAGCTAACCTTTGTCATATACATGTTTTTGCTATTAGAAACAAGTTTATAAGAAACTAATTTTAGAAGCCCCCGAAATCATAAAATACTTTTAGTTCTAAGTTATATTTCGATAAGAATCTTATTTTATTAAAAGTACAAAAAAAAATTTTCCTATTTTTTTTATCAACATATGATGATGCTTTCAAATTAAAAGCATCGTCTGTATTAACACGTTCGCTGCCGAGCTATTTTAAACTCCGTTTTTTTTCTTTGCCGAGCCACAACGTCTGCAATGATTAATTTTTGTGGTTTCATTCCGATTGCCAAAGCTAGATATCAACATTTCAATTAATAAAATATACATTAAATCAGCATTATCAACAGTTTAAATGAGTATTTAATTTGCACGCGCCATCGAATGGAAAATGAAAAATATATTGTTTATCGCAAACTTAAAGAAACTCTTGATATACTTCTGGAACTAGATTTAAAAACGTTTAAATAAGAAACGTATTACTTGATTTCTTATTAAAAAAAAAAGTCCATTAGACTATTTTTACGTTTGTTGGCGTTTATGCGGAATGTTTATTTGCTCACTGTCAAAATCCAAAGTTTTATTTAGGACGGTTAGCTATTCTAAAACGCCAGTAGCTCCTTAATTGGGCGTCTGTCGTGAGAGAATGTTTGCCCCATTGCTAAATAAGTATTTTGCATAAACATCTGCGTAGCCGAACATTAATTTAGATCGGATTAACTCTCTTTTAGTGGGGAACAATAAGCTATTTATACCCCAGCACGCTGCTTTACCTGTATAATTTATAATTTGTTAAAAGTAAAAGTTAACATGAATTTGCTTAATTTCTTCTGGTGATGACAACAGTTGTTTTTCATCACAAGGTATGATAACTTTTTTTAGTAATAGTTTTTACGTTATGTTATGGTTAATCACTGCTCATCCTAAAGTAACCTAAATTACTTAATGGCATTGCAATCAATGTAAAATCAATTATTTAATATATTCTGAAATGAACATTAATCGTTATGCATTAAAATTTAATGATATTTAAATTTCAAAATTTTTTATTATTTATACAAAATGATATTTATATTTTAAAACTATATTCAAAGTAGAACAATTTAAACCTTTTTTTTTTTTTTGATTTCTGGGTTTTTATATAGGATAAATAATTTTCAGATTATAACAATTCTTTAAGAAAGTTTCTAAATTTATATAATTTTTATACTCTAAAAAGTTATCATATATTTAAAAAAAAAAAGTTTTACCAATAATGTATAATTTATAAATACAGTTAAATAATCACTATTAAACCAATCAATCAATCATTTATTTCACTTTTTAAAGTAAATACAAAGTTAGGATCAGTCACAAACAGTTATTTAACTGGCAAAAATACGGCAACCTACAAAAATTCATTATAAATTTGACTTAATATATGACATATTACTAGTACATGAATAATAATATCTGATAATATTATAATATGAATAATAATATTATATTAATAAAAACAACAACAGAATAACACAAAGAGTAATAAAAAAAGGCTCATAGAAAAAAAAAAAAAAAAAGAAAACTAAAAATAATAAATAACAGGCTCTTAAATAGAACGACAACAATACAGTACAAGAACATCAGCAATAGCATGTTATTTAAGAAAATAGGCAAAAATAACTTGAATTTTACAGGTATAAAGGATAATTAAATCAATTAAATTAAATAGTGTTCAACCATCACTGATGGTTGAGCACTGTTTCCAAGACCAATAGCATCAGCCTTTAAATATGTATATCAGTAAACTTTTGATGTTTTTATTTTCCCTTGTTTTTATAAACATAGGCATGAAATATATGACAAAATTGAGACTAATGACCTGGAAGTAATTTAAAATTATTGAGAGTTAAACAATAGCTTTTTAACTTTATAGAATTTTTTTTCCAAGTTTTTTTTTCTCTCTATTAATATAGACATTTAATGTAAGGAACATATAATGTTTTTATATGTTTTATTCTTTTAAAGTTTGAACATTTTTAAAGATTTAATTGCTGAAAGAAAAAAAAGTAGGATTTTATAAGTTTCTTGGGTGTTTTACTTTTGATATATTTCTATAGGTATATTTGCAATATTAAAAAATATTAAACACATACTGTTTCAGAATTTTCTGAACTATTTCAAGATTTTAAAGATATGTTTTACAAGTTGTAAAAGTTAACTGCAGAAAAACTTTATTATTATAAACAAAATGCTGTACTATGTGTTTGTGATAGAGGAGCCCATCTGCAAAATATACTAAGTCACAAGAAAAAATATTTTTAGTTAATTCTTTTTCCATATTCTTTATACTGAAATCTATTATCCATTTAAATATTGGACCAAATTAAAGTTTAAAAAAAAATTGTTTTCTTAAAATCAATTTACTCACACTTAATGCGTTTGCAAATGGGCTTGTCATATGTTTTTATTAAATTATATACTACTAATTTTTCTAAGTTTTATTTTTATTTTAATCTCTATATTTCATAATTATTTTTAGAAGAAAAATTAAACTAAACTCAATATATTACTATCATTACCTGCGAAAAGAATGATGTTATTTTACTATGAACTATGAATATATGTACTGGTATGATGGCATTTGATATTTTCATGAATAAGGAGACAGCTATTATAATTATATATTTATTATAATATTTTTGTTATGATATTAAATTTTTTAAAAACATTATGCGGCATTGGATTTTTACCTTTGATAAATGGTTGGTGCTCCATATTCAAGTAGGTTTTTAATTTATTTAACTTCTATTTATTGAAAAATAAAAAGTACTTTTAAAAGTATAACTGTTATAAAATGTTAAATATCTTGTAAGTTTATAAACGTATTTTTTATAATTGATTAATTTCATTCTAATGATAATTCTAGTTCCTAATGATCATTAATTAACATGATTAATGATGTTTTTTATTTATTTCTAGTAACCAACCAGTGACTAATTTTTTTTTTTAACAAACTTAAATGATTGATGGTTAAACACCGTTTCAAAGACCTATGGGTATCAGTCTTTAAATATTATATATCAGTAAACTTTTGATGTTTGTATTTTCTCTTATTATCATGAACTTAGTCATAAAATATGTGACTTAAATTGAGACTACCTGAGAAAAAAACCCGGCTAATACTGTTAAGTAGTATTGGTAATACTTACTAAGTTCCTGGCGAGTAATAGCATGGAACGTAGTAGTAAAAACAGGTTTTAATCGGAACTTAGTAGAAACACTCAGATTTTTATTAGGCCATTAGCCGTTTAACTCTTCCTAAATTAGCTACAGTAGTAATACACTATAGTGTAACTAATTTAACTTGTTGCCTTAGCAATAAAGACTCTGGTTTATAAAGCAATTATTAAAATAACTAATAAAGAAGTGTTAGTTTGTACTATTAAAACAGTAAAAAAAATATAATAAATAACGAAGGTCAGTTGTTTAGTAATCTCGATGGTGCCAATGGAAATATTCTACCTAGTACTTCCAATACCTGTAGTACCAATACCGGAATAGCGGTATTACCGGACTTTTTCAAGTACCGAAATACCTGTATTGGTTTGGCTCAATACCTGTATTAAAATATATATGTAGAGGGCTTGTGAAATAGCAGAAGGGAAAGTGCTCTTCACGTGAAACACAAAAGTAAATAAAATATTTGAAACTTCCAGTTGCGATAGACAATGCTCCCGGTGAGATAAAGATAGCTAGATGACAAAAGACAAGTTTGATACGTGTAAAACACGTATTACTACCTATATTACTTCAGATCTTGTTTGAAAGCGTTACGCCTAAAGCGATTTATGTACGCCTTAAACAATTTTTACGTATGTGTAGAGCGGTTTTGGTTTGCTACTTTTTATCATTTTTTAACTTTTAAATAAGCGGTAACATAAAAGAAGTAATTAATTTTTAAAAAAACCACATTAACTTTTGAATGGTTATTCAAAAGTTATATTGTTGGTATATTTTATTTCAGTTGGTATATAAATAAAAATAAAAATGTTGTTCAATAAATAAATTAAATTTGTTCTTAACAAAGATTACCTCATATTTATTTTTTATTTTATTTTGTTATTCTAAACTAAATTGCTTACAAACAAACAAAAAAAAAAAGTTTTGTATTTATACATAGAATGAAAATACTTTTGCGTTTGTTTATAAGTTAAGGAACTTTTTTAATGAACAAGTTATGAACAAATAAGGAAATTTTTAATGAACAAGTTTTAACGAATGTTTATTATAAACAGATACTATTCAAATTATTAAATATATTTATTTTGTTTTATTTCAGTATTTTTTTAAGTTTGCACGATTAAAGTATTGCGTAGAAGTATTAAAAAAGTTTTTTGTTTTAAAAATAGTTAACAAATGAGTTAGCATAATTAAGACTTTATATTCAATTTATTATTTATTTTTTTTCAATTTCATTTTTCAAAATTCAAAAAAAAAAAATTTAATTGTTAAAAAGATTTTTCTCTATAGCTCTGTGTTTCTTTGTGATTTGTTTACAATGTAAAACATTTTTATGATAACGTTAAACATTTATGAATTAAATTCCTGGCTGACGCGTTCTAGTTCTAAATTACCTATCAAAAATATGCTCAAAGCAGACATGATACTTTTTTATATTACACAACGCAAGTTAAAATGCTAAGCAACATAAATTTAAAAAATACTTAAAAACCTAAATTATTCTTTGCTAGTCAAAACAAAATCGCTGTTTAAATAATTAAACAAATAATTAAATAAATAAACAAGGGTTTTTGTTTAATCCCGAAATTTTTAAAAATAAAAAATCATAACGATTTAAAAACAATTATTTAAAAACAAGTTTCAGAAATAATTAAAATATATTTGCATTTTTTTTACAAAATAATACTGAACTAAAATTATTATTAGAATAACAATTAAAAACATAACAAACTTTTCATAATATACTTTACATTACCACCGGGCTTGTTCATTTTGCAATGAGAGTATATAATCATGCTCGCTAAAGAGTTTACGATAGAGAAATTAATAAGTTGTTTAATTGAATTTTTATAAATAAAATTATTGTTAAAAATACTTAGTTAAAAATAAAACTTGTTTAACTTAAAAGTAAAACTTTGTCTTCCTTCTATTATTAAAGCATTGATTTAAAATATTATCATTACGTCACTTGCTTTAATGTAGAACGCATATTTGAGTTTTGCACTAACGTAAATATTAAAGTTTGAAGCCGTTACAGTTGAGTATATTTTTAATTTTGTAAAAATGTCAACTTGCCAATGGTATGCTATTTGTAACTTTCCAATGGTATGCCATTGTAAAGTTATAGAATTAACAACAATTATAGTTATAGTTATAGTTATATATATAGTTATAGTTATAGCAATTATAGTTAAAAAAGCTTTATGCATTTTGAATTAAGAACTAAAAATCAAGATTACATGTCTAATAGATTATCTTAATATCCAGAAAAACATAAAATATCCTAAAAAGTATTCCAACCATTCAGCACCGTACAAGTTGATGAAAGTTCCGCGTTGTTTTATTTTCTGCGTGAAAAATAAGGAATGTAACAACAAGGAAAGATTAAATGTTTCGAATAATTCATCAAAAGTTATATGAGCAGTTTTTGAAGAAGGAAATTGTGACATATATTTGCAAAATCCATACCAATGCTTGAAAACTGTGAAGAAAACAAGTGTCAAATCGAAGCATGGATTCTCAGCAAAAGGCAACATTGTCACAAAATTAGATCATCTCCTGAGGATGATACTCTGAACGCCCAATGTTTTCTACAGGCTCATTTTACAAAGGAGAAAAAAGCGAAAAATGAAAAAGTCAGTAATTTTGATACTATAAGTTAAAAATATTAGTGTATGAAAAAAATAAAAAAATATCTTTAAAAAATGAATAGTTATGAAAGTTGTGCTGATTTCTAATGAGTGTTCGTTGTATTTCCTGAAAAAAAAAAGTATATGTATATCATAGTTAGAGGTGTGAAATATAAAATTTGTATAAAAAATTGAAATATAAGTATGAATATATAGTTATAAAAGTCATGCTGATTTCTAATGAGTGTTTATTGCATTTCCTAAAAAGAAAATGTATATATATATATATATATATATATATATTTTTTTTTTACATTATTCACCTCCCCAAGGCCCGAGGGGGCCACTACAGTCGAGGAGGCTACTCATTTTTTTGTGTTTTTTATTTTTTTGTTGTATTTCGTGGTACAACCCTCTCTCAACTCTTTAACTCCGAAACACGAACCTTGAAAAGCAAGGCCGCTGCGCGGAGAAACTAAGTTGAGCGCGGTACTTCCAGGGACGTGGTGGGAGTCGAACTCCGAACCTCTCGCTTACAAAGCAAGCGCTCTTACCACTACACCACTGCCGCATATATATATATATATATATGCGGCATATGTATATATATGCATATATATATATATGCGGCACCACTGCCGCATATATATATATCATAATTAGAGGTGTGTCAAATATACCGGACTTCTATAACTGGATTTATGTAGTAAGGGGCTGATAGGATATAGGGGCTAATTAAAAACTTTAATGAAAATATTTTATTTGTCTTCATGTTTTATTACACCAAAACTGCATCTATAATGAAATATATAAAAAAATTATTTAAGTCGATAACTTAATAAAATATAATTTACTTTAAAGTTTACCATTATAAACATCATCAAAATGTAATCTTGTCATTAAAACATAAATTACTTGACAATACTGTAGTGTTGCTAGAGGTATCTTCACTTTTTTTTCTTTTTAAAAAAAAAGGCAGATAAAATCTTGAACATACAGAGCATTCAACATGCTTCTCAACATGTTTATGCATTTTTGACAATTTTTGATAAGTATTTATTGAATTTCCTAAAAAACAAAAGAATTCTTACTATTAATGTCTATGTATATCATAATTAAAGGCATATATATATATATATATATATATATATATATATATATATATATATATATATATATATATATATATATATACAGGGCTTAATTTAACAGTCGGACATCAGACATTGCCCGGCTAAAACCTCAGATTGTCCGATCAATTTACAAAGTCATCGGACATTTTGTCCGGCAAGATTTTTAATTCTTTAAAATAAAATTTTATTCGTTGATTTGAAATTGACAAATTTAAACTTAATGTAAACTATTAGACAAACTTATAAAATATGTTGATAATGGAGGCATTCATTGCCAAAAAAAGCGCTGTTATTAATTCTAGTTTTAATGACTGTTCTTTAACAGTTTTATTGTTATATTATTAAATTTAAAATTATTGCTTATTTAAAACAATCGCAAACCATTGATTACTGTGCCTTTTTGAAAAGTAGATAAATAATAACCTGTAGAACTCATAAAATTTTCTTCGTTGAATTGATCGAATTTTAATGACATGCAGCGCGTGGAATTTTTAAATTAAATAATAGCCCGTAAATATTATATTGCAATTGATTTAACCGCCTTTAAATAAGTAAAAGTGAAGTTTAAATTTTTTATATCAAGTTTAAAAATATGTTTATCTTAATATTTAATATATTAAAGACAATATTATACTATATTACAATAACAAACTTGTTTTCTTGCCGTTTTTATTATTGATAAAAATAGTTACATAAACGCCGTATAAATACCTTTTTGGCGCTAAAAGTGGAGGTTATGCGCAAATTTGACACTTAGCATATTATATTTTTTTAAGTAAAAAAATTTACATAACTTTTATAAACCGGTAATGCAATTCAATGTAAACCAACAAGGTTTTCGAGAGAAAAAAACTCAATAAAACTTTGTCTATCTAAAAAAATGTGCAGTATTGAATTTAAACTATTTCATTTAAAATACAAAGATCGATGATAAAAATTCTGAATATTAAAAAAAAAAACTACAACTTCACTAGCCTAACATAAAATAAACTGGGAAAACATAACATATATTTCGATTGGATAATTGGGTTCCATAAAACTCAGATACGCCAGAAGCTAGTCTAAAAAAACCCATCTGCAGTACTTTTTTAACTCTCGGCATTTAAAGAACTATCTTTTTCCTGTGTTCCTTTTAACAAAACAAATATGAATATATGTAAATATTGGTGAAAATTATTTGTTTAAATTTTATTTCAAAAATTTGATCGGACAATGTCTGACCAAAATAACTTTTGGTCAAACATTTTGTCTGGGACCTTATAAAAAACTAAATTAAGCCCTATACATATATATATATATATATATATATATATATATATATATATATATATATATATATATATATATATATATATATATATATATATATATATATATATATATATATATATATATATATATATATATATGTGTGTATATAATTTCCTTATTAGGTTGAATTTCTCATTTTAAACTATCATAGATTGTCCCAGCATTCATCTTACAAATTTCCAGGTCTAATAAAGAATAAGAGTCGGACAAACTGATATTGTGTTACGTTTTTTTTTTCTTTTCTTTTTTTTTCACTTCCTAAGGCCGAGAAGGCCACTACATATGAGGAGGCTACTTGTGATTATAACCCTCTCTCAACTCTTCAACTCTGGAACACGAACCTTGACGTACAAGGCCGCTGCGCGGTGAAACAAGTTAAGTGCGATACATACATACATATATGATTCATATATGTATGTTATGTATGATTCATATATGTATAACATATATAAATGAACATATAATTTATGTTTTATATTATGAAACATAAATTATATGTTTTATGTATGTATTTTATTTGATATTATATAGTTTTCATATATACATGTATACATACATACATGTGTACATACATACATACATACATACATACATACATACATACATACATACATACATACATACATACATACATACATACATACATACATACATACATACATACATACATACATACATAAATACATACATACATACATACATACATACATACATACATACATACATACATACATACATACATACATACATACATGTACACATGCATACATACATACATACATACATACATACATACATACATACATACATACATACATACATACATACATACGTACGTACGTACATACGTACATACGTACATACGTACATACATACATACATACATACATACATACATACATACATACCTTTATTAATAAAAGACCTTTTTGACCTTTATTAATAAAAGCTGAAAGGCTGAAAGGCCTTTCAGCTTTTATTAATAAAGGTCAAAAAGTTCAAACTTTCAAAACCAGACTAAAAAATGGTAAAATTTGAGTTATAACCTTCAAAATTAATATTAAAAGCCATATAAACACATTAACAATCAATCATCGTTTAGTTTGTTAACCATGCAATTGTCGCAATGTGAAAAATGCTTCCAACATTAAAATTACAAATATTAATTAGTAAAAATATTGTATCCAAAAATGATTTTTTAGACTTAGCTAACTTGTCTTCCATGTGTTAAAAAAAAAGATATAATAAAATAAAATAAAATCAGAATTTTTATAATTGCATCATTTTTGGAAACTTACCAAGTACTTACTAAATATTTATCCTGATAAGTACTTATTAAGTATTTACTATGATTAGTCTGCAATCATCATCATCATTTGGAACTATTAATAAGTTTAGCTGTATTATGTAAAAACTTAACAGGATTAGTTGGGATAAATTTTTTATTTCAGGTAATGACCTGGAAGGAATTTGAAATTATTGAAAGTTCAACATTTACTAGTTAATTTTATAGAATTTTTTTTTAACCAACTAAAGTCTGACTAAATTTGGCTTTTTTTTCAGACATTGCCTTATCGAAACTTTTCTTTTTGGTTTTAATGGTATTTAACTGCTTTAAAGGTGAATACAGGAAATATTTTTATAGAAAGTTCTAAAAACTAATTAAAAAAAGAGGAATATTTAGTTATTCATAGATGAGTTTTTTATGGGAATTCCAGAAATTTATACAAAATTCCTTTAATTTTCCAGAAATTTCTAGATGTTTTTTGTTGATAATTTGAAAAAAATTATATAAAATTTTAAATAGGTCAACGTTTGCATTTAAACAAATATGTTTTCTATAATCAAAACTTTCTTGAGATCAATTTTTGTAACAATTTTTTTTTCTGTTTAATTCATTCATGTTAATTTTTTTGAATATTAGAAATTCCTTTTTGTAAAAGTTAAATAATCTGAATTTCGTTTCAAAAGTTAACAAAAGTTTAAAAAGTTAAAAAAAATAGAATTCCTTCAGAAAAATAGAAAACTTGAAGAACGTTTTTATAATATAAATTCAACGCGGAAAAAAAAGATTGAATGGTATGAACGGTGCAAAACAGTTAAAGAATCTACTAATGATCATGGAAAATAGTACAGAAATAGAAAAGCTGACAAACGTTTTGCAGCAGAAAGTTATAAGAATAAAAAGTATTAATTTCTGAACCATTGTCTGACATTTTATATTTAAAAAGTAAATAAATTATTACGCTTTGCAGGTTGTTTATGGTAAAACTGAGATATTATATTTGATTTTAGAGAATTTTAGAGAAGCATAATTATTCAGTAGTGTTTAGTTACTTTATTTATCCCTTTATTAACATTCCAGAATTTACTCTCATACCTTTGTCAATTTGTTGATCCCATAATTTTCCGGGATTTTCCAGATTTTTTAGTAAAATAATTTTCCAGGATTTTCATAGAAAAAATTTCCATCACTTTATAAAGTCAAAAACTCATCTATGATTATTATAATGTTGAAAACTTGATATATCAAAATATTGTAGTTTTTTCATAAAAATCTTGTAATGAAAAAGTTACATTTTTTTTTTTTTTTCAACTTTCAAAAATAAAATTTGATGTTGAAAGTAGTTTATTACTATATCATATAGTTTTTTTCTAATTTTTTTCCTCTTTTCTCTGTAAGATATTTAAAATATGTAAAAATTGTACAACTTGCTATATCTTTATCTCAAATTCTGGAAATGTTTCCATAATCTTGATCTTGAAATTTTTAAATGTGTGATTGCAACTCTTAATAATTATTACAATTTTTAGGCTTAATAATTAAAATTATTTGACCATCTTGTTTTCCCTAAAAATGTTCATTCTTTTTATTGTCAAATAAAAAAATAATAAAAATGGAAATTGATATAGATTGTGATAATCTGATAGATAATGAAGTAATAATAAAGTAGTATATAATAATATATATAATAAATATTAAAATAGTAATAAAAAGTGTTTTTATGGACAGCATGAGGGTGTTAAGATTAGCTTTAAAAAAACAGATTGTGAAGTAGCTTAGTTATAAATTATAAATTTTTGCAATAATCTTGCACGTAATAATTGGATATATATTTTTAATAAGTTTTTCTAAGTCCTCCAAAAAGTTCTAGTGGTTGTATAACAGAGCACAGTAGAGTAACATTTAATCAGAAAGTTCACACCTTCCTTACCAATGATACATATATGGCCAGAGTTGGCTTTGAAGCATGGAAATCCAGTTTTTGTTTTAAGTTTTCTTTGTAAAATTAGTTATTTTTATGATCAATTAATTTTCCAAATCAATTTTTGCAATCATTCATTTTCTTATTGTATAGCTATTTTGCTTATGTTTAAATTTGAGTTTTATTTTATTTTATATTAAACTCTTAACAAAACATCCGTATTTTATTACACCATTATTAATCATTATCATCTTTATCATATAGGTGTAGAGAAATCATTACATGGTCAAATGTGTCTTACTCTGGATAATATTTATCCAGTAGTAGAAAATTGCTTTTTTACAACTTGTATTTAGTAAAGATTTAGATCAAGGGGACTATTATTATCAAGCTGCCAAGAGGGGGGGGGGGGCTTGAAAGAAACAGTTTGTCCCAGGCTGCAGATATCCAAAGGGTGCCAAATAAAAAGAAGGTACTTAAAAAAAAAGATCCTTCATCTATAATATATGGAAATTTTGATAAATAAAGGCGCCAATCAGGGTTGCTGTCCCAGGCAACATGACGGCTCTGGGCGGCCCTGTATATTATTTATTTTTATTCTTGTAACTTGTCTATAAACAAATTTTGAATCTAATTGTTTAGTTCTAACCACTGATTTGTTGTTACCCTAAATTGTTTTAAGGAATTTAAGCCCCCTGTTACTATAATTTGACTCCTTAAGTTTAATATTTGTTGCTATTTCCAATAATTCATTTGACATTTTATCATCTTCATCTATAACTATAGGTCTATAAATTAATTCAGTTGCATCTATTTTTGTTTTTATTTTGTTTTCATTTTTTATTGCAATATTATACAGCTCTTTTTTTTAGGAGTTTCAAGATCCTTTACACTTTTTATTTCAGATGGGATTAAATTATTTTTCACGAACAATTACAGCCAACTCCTTTTCCTTTTCCACCAAGTTATTGATGCATATTTATAAAAATCATTTTGAAAACTTTTAAAATCAAAAAATTTAAAAAAGTTAAATGTAAAAAAATTTAACTTGATTAAATTTTTGAATGATGATGCTTAGCAAAAAAACAAACAAAAAAACAATTTAATTATTTATTGATTTTATAGACTTTATGAAGTGAAAGAAGTACCGAAAAACCATTTGGAAAAGTAGTAATGTACAATTTGAAAAAGTGTTCACTTTATAAATTATGAAGGTTTATTTACTTTAAATTTGATTCAAAACTTGTAGGTATTTTTGTTAATTTCTTTGCAATGTAATTTAATCAGAAAATCAAGTTAAAACAAAATCTCAGGTTGTTTTGTAGATCTCTGTTTGTTTTTTTTCATTTTTTTTTAGACTATAGTTTTGGAGTTTAGATTTTTAATGTAAAAATGTAAATACCAGTTTTGAGTAATGATATTTTTTTAAAGATCTATATTATGTGATTATATATGTGATTTTGTGTGGCCTGATGCTTAGTTTTATTGCAAAATCTTTTAATGTTCTAGTTATGTAAGTTTTTTGTGTGTGTGTGTGTTTTTGAACTAAATTTCCATGGTTTGTGTATACCTTAATTATTTTTTTGAAGATGTCCACCTTTTAAGAAATGTTTTTATATTTCACTTTTTGATTGTTTTCATGCTAAATGAAAATGTTTTTTCAAAAGTTTTTTATTTAATTTAAATTGATTTTAAAGATATTTAAAAAAAATATTGTTAGCAAGTATGGTAATAAAAAAATAATACATAATAAATCAACTTGATAAAACTAAAGTTGATTGGCATAATATGTTACAATGTTATAGAACATGATAGATATACAATTGAATTATTTTAAACATAAAGTAATGTGACTTCATAAATCAAATCAGAATAGTAATTTTGTAAAGACAGTTTTAGTTAAATTTTATTTTAAACATAAAATTAAATAGAAAATTTACTAAAGAATATTCATTAACAAAAAGATAAAAATCAGTGTGTTTTTTTCTGTTAGTTAAAAAAAGCTTATGTCAGATAAAGATTAAAGAAACTTTTATGGTAAAAAAATATCCTAATGACATTTTGGCTACTTAAACAAGAAAGCATCTTTTAATTGTCGTTAAAATCATCAACTTAAAGTAATAACCATTAAGTTTAAATTAATTGTTGAAAAACATAAAAAAACAATTATTTTAATTAGATAATTTTTTCTAAAAAAAAAACATCTAATATTTTATATTACTTGTTAGAGTTATTTTTATATTTGTTCAGTCTTGTTCTTGTTTTGTTTAAATCAACATTTTATGGAAAAACTTTCAAACTAGTAGAGTATAATTTCTAAAACCTAGAGTGGTAGTTTCGTTAATTTGTTTGGTGGTAAGTTTATTGTATTTCTTTTTTAATTCTTAAATTAGCTATTTTAAATTCTTAAATTAGCTATTTTAAATTCTGGATAGCAAATAGATTTTTTATTGTAAGATTCCGCACCGATGACCAAAGCGACCACCAGGTTTTATGGTGTGTCACTCAAATGAAACTTTTTTTATTCAGGAGTATTGGTCTTGTATTAATAGAAAAAAATTAAAATTTGAACAAAGTGATGAGTCATAATTGGGGTAAAAGGTTAAAATTGTGAAGTCTTAGCCCATTTTGGATTGCATTTTAGATGCATGTTACAAAAAAAAAATTTTAAGAGCGTTTATTTTGTAAAAATAGAAAAGAATGTTATTAAAATCAGAAAAAAATAATAAGGGTCACTAATGGAGCAAAGGTTAAAATTGAAATGGCCTAAGCCTTTTTAAGCATTTAAGATGTTTATTACAAAAAAATAATTTAAACTTCATATAAATTAAACAAAATTTAAAACAACAAAAGCATTTGGTATGATAATGCAGTAGTGGTTTAGTAGTAGACAGCTTGCCTCATAAGCGAGATGTTCTGAGTTCGATTTTGACCATGTCCCTGGTAGTACCCTGCTCAACTTAATTCTCAGTGCAATGGCCTTAATTAGAGTTATAGAGTTGAGAGAGGGTTGTAACCACAACTAATTAGTCTCCTCGACTGTAGTGGCCTACTTGGTTATGGGGAGGTGAGTTAGTATGTAATATTAAAAAAAAAAATTTTTGATTTACAATACTAATGTATATATGGTACATAATCTCACAAAAATCAAATAATTTTTAATCCTGTTTTAGAGCAGCATGTAATAACTAAACCTAAAAAGTTTATTTTTCTTCCATTAAAAGTAGCTACAGAGTTGCTCTCAATGTTGAGTATACTCCTCTACATGTTTAAATCTTTTCCACTTAGGTTTAAATTTAAAATAAAGCCGCACTGTTCAGTCAACTGACTTCAAACTGATTAGAGAACTTGGATGACAAGAATCTTGGTAGATAGGAGGAAGTTTTTTAATTTAACAAATGCTAACTTATACTTGATCACAAGAGTTTGACTTAAAAATCTTTTTTTATTTATTTACTTTCATACACTAAAGGTGTTCAACTTAGACTAAGTTGAACTATAGATCTAAGTTGAGAATGCTGAGATATAATGGTGTATAAAAAAACTCTTTTCTATCTACCCAAGACAGTTTGCTAAACAGCATAGAATTTCATTCTAAATTTAAACATACATGGAGTAGATTTAAACATGTAGAAGAGTATACTCAACATTGAGAATGACTCAATGTAGCTTTAATGAAAGAAGAATTTAATTTTAACTTTACATGCTGCTCTATAGATGGATAAAAATTATTTGATTGTTTTTGGATTATGTACCATATATAAACTAATATTGTAAATATTTAAAAGTATTTTTGTTGTTTTAAACTTTGTTTAAATTATTTGAAGTTGAACTTATACATTTTTTTTTTGTAATAGGCATTTAAAATGCTTAAATAAGCTTGGGCCCCCCTTTAATTTTAGCCTTTGTCCTATTTGAATCTCAACAAATATTTTCTAGATATAATTTTTTTAATATAAATTTTTTGTAACATGCTTAAATAGGTTTATGACCCCCTCAATTTTTTTTTTTTTTTGTACTAATTATGACTCTTAGTTTTTTTTAAATCCAAACTTTGTTTGGATTTAAAAAAAAACTATTTTCTATTGTTACAAAACAAATGTTCTTAAATAAAAAGGTTTCGATTTACACAACAGTCTCTTTGGCCATCAGTGTTTTTGGGTCCACACCTTTTGTCTTACTTTACAATAAACATACTATATTTACAACTTTTGTCTACATACTATATATACTACATACTTTGGTCAAACATACTATAATTACAACTTTTGTCTTACCTTACAATAAACATACTATAATAATAATACCTTGTCCACACCTTTGGGTCAACACTTTTAACTTATTTTTTGATTAATTTTTGGGACTTTTTCTCAAATTTTTAGGCTTTAATTTTTTTAGGATTTTGATTTGTTTACACTTTATATGAAAAGAACATTTGTTTTTATGACGCCTGATTGCAGGTTGATCTCATTTTTCTTGACGGTTGCAGGTTGATCTTATTCTTCTTCTTGTACATGTTTTATGTGTTGTTTATTCTTTTAGTATTTTCATTTTTGTCTCATTAAAATAAACTAAAATGTAAGTTGTCAAACAAGTAAATTTATTTTTATTATTTAATCATATTTACTTCTATAACCATATTCAACATTATTATTTCTTCACCATATTTACTATTATAACTTATTTGCCATATCTTAAATATTCAAATATTCTTATAAATATTTTAAAATCCAACAACACTGTGTGTACTTTAAGGTAAAAAAAGCAAAAATATTTATACAAATATGAAATCTATTTATTGAAATTAAAATTGCATAATTGTTTTATTGGTAAAAATTACTTGGTGGCTTTGTTGGAAAAATAACTTGGTGACTTAATTGGTTGTCTTGCAAAAGCTGCAAAATGTAATAAAGTTTTCAAAATTAATAAAGCACTCATTACATTTTTTTTAATTTTTTTTTTTTTTTTTAATATTCTTAGTGGTTTTGTTTGTTTTTATCTTAAAGTTTTGTTTAAAAAAAAAACATAAAGAGATTTATAAATAAAAAATAAAGTAAAATAGTTAGATCCTATATTTTTTAAGGGTACCAACCAGAACCCCTGTTGATCAAAACGTCTAATTTTGAACACAGTTAATTTTTATGTTTAAAATATGTTTTTGTCTCATTGCCTATTAAATTATTAAGTGTATAAAGAAAGATATAATGTTAAATGATATATTGCATATATTGTAATTTATTTTATAATTTATTCAATTAAATAATGCATATATTATTTATTCAATTAAAGTTCATTGATAATAAAATCCTTGAACTGGCTTGATTAGATCAATTTTATTTTTATTATCTTTGTGATTATGTATGTTTTTGGTTAAAATATTTTAAAACGCTAAAAAAATTAAAAAAATAATAGTTCTATACAAATTTTCTGTATCAATGTTCAGAATTCTAGTCATTCTTATGTTGGCACAAATTCCACTGAATTTGTGCCAACATAATTTGTGTCAACATAAGTCCCAACATTCAAAAAATTGTTATTCTATATAATTTTACTCTCATTTGTTTTGTAAGTTTTTAACAAATAATATTATTGATCTTTTTTTTAACTGAACAGTTTTTAATTTTTAAAGTTTAAAAAATATGAGTTCGTATTCTGCTCTCAAATTTTTGTTTTATATTTTTAATCTTTGTTTCATTTATATTTAAATTATAATGGAGGTAAAAAATTTAATGTTTTAATGGCAGTAAATTAAAATAATAATGGATGAAGAAAAAATAGAACAAAAAAGCAAGAAGATGAAGTATACAGAAGAATTACTAAAGAGTGTAATCATAGAAAAAAAAGATCCCAAGAGAAAAAGAATGAAAGAGCGCAAGCAAACAGAAAAAAAAAGACAGAAAGAAGAGAGAGATAAAGTGAAGAAAAATAAAAGAAATAAAAGTCAATATATTAGTGAATCATTGTCTTCATCAATCAGCATGGTAAGTAAAACATATTTAACGCTTAAATGTGAAAAAGTATTTATAAGTTTAATAAAGTTTTCCTGTGGTAATTACATATATTTATATATATATATATATATATATATATATATATATATATATATATATATATATATATATATATATATATATATATATATATATATATATATATATATATATTGAGCATTTTCCTGAAGATATATGCAAACCAAAATACGTATATATATATATTAGGGATGCACCGAACCCAGTTTTTGGCCGAACACCGAATCCGAACATTCGGCCATGAAAGTTCGGCAAAACACCGAACCGAATACCGAACTTTTGATTTTTTTAAATATAAACATTGGTTTACCTTAAAAACATTTAGAAATTGAAGTGAAAATTATATTTTTAAAAATTTAATGTTTTTTAAAACATTAGATTTATTTTGAAAATATGTGAAGAAACTTTAAATAACTATCAAAAGTAAATTTATTATTAGATGATTGTTTGTAGTCACTACAATGTAGTGAAAAGAAGTAAAAATGTTAAGAAGTTTTTATTTGAAAAATGAAAAATTAAATTTATGAGTATGACTTATTAATAATGAGTATAACTTATTAATAATGAGTATAAATAATTAACAATTATAATATAATAAAATTATATTGTAATTTATAATTTAAACTTCTTAAAATATTATTTTACGTTAAGAATTTATTTTAATAGTTGTTAATTGTTAATGTTAAGGTCTTAAGTTAAGCTATTTAGCTAACTTTTATATTTGTAGACTATACTAAAATCTTAGCTTATATGTTATAACATTTAAGCTAAATTTGTACCTATTCTACAAATATAAAAGTTACCTAATAAAAATAAAGGTATAAAGGTATAAGGTATTAAAACCTAGTATCTGGCATGTTTTAAGATTATATATATTTTTTTATATTAAACTTTATTTATTTATTAGTATATACTTTTAATTATTTAGAAGCATAAAAAAATGTCTTCAAAAATAAAATTTAAAAGTACTGTTTGGAAATATTTTGAATTTTTAAAGAAAGATAATCATTTTTGTATTTGCCTACTATGCAAAGCATTACTTTCTAGAGGTGGGAATTGTCCTAAAACATTCACCACTAGTGCAATTAAATGTCATTTAAAAAACAAGCACTTTGCAGAATATAAAATAGCTGAAAAAGAGTCTGACAAAAAAAAATTAAAACATCTACAGCCTCTACATCAAGCGATTCTAAATTAAAAAGACAATTAACATTACTGGAGAGTATTAATAAAAAAAAGCTGTGGGATGTAAATGATCAAAGAGCTATCAAAATTCACAATCACATTGGAGAAATGATGGCGTTGGACAGCACACTGGCTCAGTAATGAATTTTCCCAGCACAGAGCAGTACTCAGAGTTATGCATTTTCCAGAAAGTCACACAGGAAAAAACATAAGTGAGTATTTACATAAAGGTTTAGTAAGTTTTGAAATTCCACACTCAAAAATTCATATTGTTTTGTGAGATGATGCGGTCAATATGGTAGCTAGTGTAAGAGACAGTGGTTTTAGATCAATGCTATGTTTTATACATACAATACAGTTATGTATACATGACTCAATTCTGTCGCAAAAATCTGTTAAGGATAGTTTAGCTTGTTGCAGTTGTCTGGCAACTCATTTTCACCATTCCCCAACAGCAGCAGCAAAATTAGAAGCATTTCAGGAACAACTTGGTACAAATAAGCACAGATTAATCCAAGATATTACTACAAGAAGGAACAGTTGTTATGATATGATTGAAAGGATGCTTGATCAAAAAGTTCCTTTGGCAACTTATACAGCTGATCATCCTACCCAATCAACACTAAATTCATTTCAATGGGACTTAAATATTTATGTCTGTTTATGATAAATATGATATATGATAAATATGATAAATATGATATATGATAAATATTTATGATAAATATTTATGTCTTTCCACTTTTTGTGACCCTAGATATAAATTGACATATCAAAAGGAAGACAAGGATAAAATAAAAAATTGGATAAATGAACAGATGCAAGAAATGCAACAAAGTAATTTAGAACTTGAATCCTCTGATTCTGATTTTGACGAACCTTCAGTACATAACACAAATGAAGTAATTGCATTTTCATGTTTTTGATCACCACAATAACATTTTTCCCTAAGTTTATTCCTTCCAAATAATTTTCTCAGTTCAACTAGTTGAGTAGCCAAATTACGAGCAACTTTCTTTATAAAGATTTTTTTTTTTTAACACAGCAGCAATAGGCGCCACTTAAAACGGACGTTTCTATCTGTTATTTTAAGTTTATTTTAAATTACATTTTTGCGATTTTTCCAAAATAAAAAATTTGCTTCTTGCATGAATTTTATAACTTAAGTTAAGTTTATTTATTATTATTGTATATAAAAGGATAAAATTAACTAAAATATTGCTCAATTGAAAGGATTTTTCATTTTACACTTATACTAGTACTATTTTTTCTAAATGATGTAAACTAGTTTTACGTAATACATTCGGTTTTAAGTAATACATGCGATCAAATTAAATTTATTCTAAATTCAAAAAACTTGATGTGAATCTAATGTACTCATGTGTTCTATTAAAAAACATATTCTTACCTACTATGCGTTGTAGATAAAAATCGGGTTTTCAATAAAAAGCCATATCTATTGGTACTGTAGCTATTTAGGCTGAGTTATGATGATTTGTTGATATTAATTTCCAAATTAGCATTTTTAGCAAATGTTTGGCCAAACATTTGTCAAGGTTCGGGAAAACAGTCGAGCGTTCGGTGCATCCCTAATATATATATATATATATATATATATATATATATATATATATATATATATATATATATATATATATATATATTTCAAATAAATAACTATTTTTTTAAAAACTTTTTGACAACATTTTTCATCAATATCAATTCAAATCATCAGGTATTAAAATTAGTTTCTATTTCTGTATATAAACAATTTTTTTGGCTACTTTAAAAATTTAATAGTTTTTACAATATTTATCATGTTACATTTTATAAAATAAATAATTACCAAAAAATTTTAAAAAAGATTATATAAAAGGTGTGAAGTAATTAATAATAAACAAATTAGGAAATAAAAAGTAAGATAATTAAGAAGTTTTTTTACTAATTTAACATTGAGCACTAAATTTGTAGAATACACCAACATAATATATATATATATATATATATATATATATATATATATATATATATATATATATATATATATATATATATATATATATATATATATATATATATATATATATATATATATATATATATATATATATATATATATATATATATATATATATATATATATATCTATAGAGTCCAGGGGAAAAAACGGCAGTCACATTTTATTCGTGTTGAGAAATTCAATTTTTAAGTTTTAAAACCATTTTTTAATAATAAGTTGATAACAAAGTGACTTTTTTAAAATTAGTTCCACATTAGTAACTATTTCAATAAGGTAAAATCAAGGTATATTTATTTCGGTTAAGAAAAAACAAGTTTTATTACTTAATATTTGAAGTAGGGTCAAAACGGACTATGCTGGTTTTTTCATTGCAAAATGTTTTTTTCCCTTTTTCTTTCATATTTATTCATAAAATCATAATAGAATATAGATTTTTGCAATTTTTTTATTTCCTTTTATTATACAACCTTTTTTTCATCAAAAATGTTGGGATATTTTCAATGCTAAATGATAATTAGGTTGTCCGCAGTTTAGGTCATTATTGACCAAAGTTCTGTGATTGTTCTATTTGGTATAAACTATGCTTAACATAGTTTGAATTCTCTTTATTTAATATAAATTTAGAATTTCAATTCTTATAAATTTTATTACATAAAACTAAAACTTAATTTTCAAAACACTTTCAAAACAAATAACAAAACAAGATTTTTTTTCAAACAAAAAAATTTTACAAACAAAAAATATATTTATATAAATTCATCATCTTCATTTTTGTTGTCATCATATGGCAGTGAATCAAAAAAATCAGGGTTTTGTTTGTAAATTTTTTAAGTACCTGAAGATCTTTAAATTTAGCTATTGATATACACAGTCTCTCAGTATACAAGTTTAAAAGGTTTTCTAATATTGTCAGTTTTCTTTTTCTTCTTACATTTCGATTAATGGATATATTTAAATATTCACTATTCCAACATTCTCTATCAGACATTATTTCAGGAGAATTAATAGAAAAAAGCACTTCTCGAAGAGGTCTTGTAGCTACAGGACATGCAGCTTTGTAGAGAGGATTTAAAAAATGAGTCATATTTTTGAACATGTCCTGGTTTGGTTCAAGTACATGAAATGGAGTCGGATTTTTGTGAGCATCTTTAAATATTTTAACCCAATTAGAAAGTATATTAACTTGAGATTTGCAGTTAATGAGACCCATATCTTTGTCACACTCCATGTAGGAATGCCCCCTTTCAGGAAAGGTAACTTTAATGGAGTCAAATCTTTTTTTGTTGTGAATCATAAAATCCAAAAACCTAAAGACTGTATAATTTTTATTTTGGCCGGCACAAGAATCACAGAATAAATTTATATTTTTGACTAATGGACTTAAATGATGAATAAAAAAAATATGCAGTATTGATGTCACTAAATCTGAAAATTTCGTCATAACTATAGATAAAAACATCTTTATTTGCTAACAAATGAATGTTGAAAGAAAAAAAAGTTTTCTTTTATAAGAAAAATCATTGCTAGAGTTATTTCGCACATTTAAATTTTTTTGATAGTCAAATGTAATGGTTTCAAAGTTTTGCTCTCTCAACGCTTTCAGTATAGCTTCACTTTTTCTTAAATAAAAAGTTTCAGCCTTTTTTTGGTGAAAATCTCTTTCAAATTACAACTTTTTAAATTTAATCTTCAAATCTTGTGCTTCAGGATTAGCTAAGATATCTTTAGAACAAATATCAATTCTAATTTTTAGTTCGTCACACATAGAACATGTGTCTGTTCGAAGATAACCAAAAGCAATATTAAACTCATTATTTTAAATACTGTTCTGTATGACTCATAACAAATCTTTACATTCAGGTGAAGAATCATAAACATGTTGTACATTTTATTTATATTCAGTTCCTCAGGTAAATAAATGCGTCTAGTTTTCTCTTGAGAATAGCGAGACTGCCTTCCCCTGAATGATGAAATATGGGTTATTATTTTTTCACGCACATCATCTGTAATCTTATGCGGCCTAGTACAATGTTTTCCTTATATCTTTTGGTGGTTCACCTAAAATGATATTGTTAAGTTTCATTTGTTGTAAAATCAATGTAAATTTTATTCTAAAAATAACATTTTTCACACAATGTTGCCTTTTCGAGCTATTAAAATAATTATGTTTCTATATAAAATTGCTATATACTAAAACACTGCACCTGTAGTTGAAATACTTCTTTTTGTTTCCACTTTACCTTTTTTAATACTAAATATAGAAATAAAGGCTTTGAAACACACTCGAACAAATTGAGGTCTTCTTCTTTTTATGCTGGTTACCGTTATAAGTCCAGCAAGAAAAGAATCTTGCATTTCTTTTCTTGCAATTGAAGTGAATGATTTCAATAAAAAAAAGCTCTGTTTTCATCATTTATAACTTCAAAATATTTAAATCTGATGCAATTACAGTTGGGGCCTGTTTTATGAGCAGAAAGTTTCTGTTTTTTCTGTAATTGTGACAACCTTCCCTTAAACTTTCTTTTTTTTGCTTTACTCGTAGCTTTAACAAGTTCATCACAATCAGCCATCTTTATTAAATATTTTTAACGCTTAAAGAAAATCATTAGATATCAAGATCACATGAAGCCAGATATTTCAAGACCATATGGACATGGCCTTTTTTTTCATTGTAAACATTGGACTTTGCCTTTTTTTCAATTGTACCTGGATTTTTCATTTTAATTTTTCAAAAGTTAGCATTTGTTTTTTTTCTTGAATTATCATTCAAGTTATAATTTAAAAGACTTTTTATAATACAAACACAATATTTTCAAAAAAATAAAAATGTGACTGTCGTTTTTTCCCCTGGACTCTTCATATTTATATATATATATATATATATATATATATATATATATATATATATATATATATATATATATATATATATATATATATATATATATATATGTATATATATATATATATATATATATATGTATATATATATGTATATATATGTATATATCACACACACACACACACACACACACACACACACACACACACACACACACACACACACACACACACACACTCACACACACACACACACACACACACACACACACACACACACACACACACACACACACACACACACACACACACACACATATATATATATATATATATATATATATCACACATGATTCTTATTAACGAAAGAAAAGTATTTTAATATTGACAAAAGAAAACTATAATATTATCATTTGAGGTTGACTAATAATTTTCTTTAAATGATTTTAAAAAGCAAATAACTGTCCAAGGATAATAATTGAGCTGGGTTGTAACTTTATATATAATGTAATATACATTTATTACAATGTATGTTTTATATGTAAATAATAATATATTGCTAAATTAATATTACTTTGTAATAGTTTGAACACTAACACATATATGTTAACTTGCTCTTAACTATCCCTCATTCAGTTTGATAAAGTCAGCTCTAAGCTTAAAACCAATGCAGACAATATACTTAAAAAATTAGATACAACATTTTTCTTTGCCAAAGGGCCCAAGAAAGCCAAAACATAAACAGCCCATGCACAATTTTTTCATATTTTGTATAAGGCCACCACACCTATGGCACACACAATATAAGTGAAAGTCAAATGCAAAATTTATTGTTAAACTTTTCGGAGATACTTCCTTTTTTTTCTTCAACATCTTTACTTTCAACAAGGTCGCTAGCAACTGAATTTTAGTACATAGCACAAGAGGTACTAGCTCTTTAGAACATTCCCTATTATAAGATTTAAAAAAAAAAGAAAGAGAAGCAACATTACAACTATGTGAAATGGCTGCAAGAGCAGGTCCAACTATGTTTACAATGCATTTTTGCAACTTTTCTAAAAGAGAAAAAGCATCATTGAAAAATTGGCAACAGTATTCCATACAAAGACAGATTTGAGATTTATAGAGATAAAGAATAGAATCAGGAGTAAGAAAGTGGTGAGCACGATAATGAGATGCAACCTTAGGAGATGCTAATTTTGCAATCGATTTGATATATGTTTTCCAAGAAAGAATGGATGTAAGAGTTAATCGTAGAAGATAAAGGGTAAATGACTCATCGACCACATTATCTTTTATAAATAACGATAACGATTAGCTGAAAAAAATTTTCAGAGCTTCTTTCTTTTTTTTAAGAACCTTTTTTAATTTTTTAAAAATATCATCTAATATTTTAAATGTTCCTTCATGCTCAAAAAAATTTTTTATCTAGTTTTTTCCTCAAAAATCAGTTCAGAATTCACTCTCATTTTAATGTTTTCCTGACTCATATAGTTTCAGTTTATAAATTCTTCTGTCAAAGTTCAGCAGAAGACTTAGTAAGTTCCTGTAGATAAACAAATATATTAAATATGTATAGAGAATAATAAACGGGTGGTATTAGTAAAAGAAGATTAGATTTTTAAATTTAAAAAGAAGTTTGAAATTTATGTTTTCTTTATTCTATGTGTAAAAATAGTTTTTTTGTTACAATATAATTTTTTACTGTTTTAAAATCGTCATTTCTTTTTTTAGAAATCATCTGTAGATCCTAAATCTGTTTCTTTTACATTGGATCCTCCTGTAAAACTATCTGAACCTTTGTCATCTGATGTCATAATTGAGCAACAAAAGGCGATGATATCCATAGAAAAAGAGGTGAAAAGTAGAACAATTTCAAAGTTGGAACGTCGTAAAGCAGCATTTGAAAAAATTACAAAGAAGACAGTTGACATGTTAATAGATACTAAGTTAAAAACACCTAAAAAGAAAACAGTTCTGGAAAAGATGGAATCAAATTGTAAATACAAAAAAAATTTTGTTTTAAAATTTTGAAATTTGAAATTTATCTGTAACAGTTGTGCTTAACTTTTTTCATATGCAAGTTTTAAAAATTTTTCTTAACAGCAACATTATGTTGTGATTGAGAAATGAGCCTCTTTATCAAAAATGTTGGGTACTGCTGATCTATAAATAAAATTGATATAGAAATAAATGAATACTGAAAATGATTTAGAAACTTGCTATATTTTCTTAATAAAAAATTTGTTTGTTAATATATAAATGGAAGAAAAGAGGATGCAATAAAATATATAGATATAAAAGTTTTCTTTAACAATAGATTCAACAATTATATTTAATAATTCTTCAATGATCATTTTATATAGCAATCAAATTCCTTCATCAAGAATCTACAAGAAATCAGGGAAAACATTTTTTAGACTATATTATATATAGTTTAGAATATTGTTACTATGTTTCACTGTGTTCATAACACTCTGAAGATATCTAATCAAATTAAAACTTCTATTATGGATGTAACTCTTTATTTGAAATTAATTTTCATACAATATTTCAAGGGATTATTGATACCCTCATTGTCAAGTATATAAATATCTAAGTATATTATATATTTATATACTTGACAATGAGGGTATCAATAATCCCTTGAAATATTGTATGAAAGTTAATTTCAAATAAAGAGTTACATCCATAATAGAAGTTTTAATTTGATTATATTTCAAACTCTTTAATGATGTCTTTTAAAATTTCTGAAGATATCTAAAATTTTCCAATATTTTTATATTATGTTGAAACTACATGCTTATAATGCATTGTTTCCTGTTGAAAGTCAATTCTTAAAACTTAATCACACTTCCTCTTAATGGTTCTTCAACTACTGCTTCTAATTCAATTATGTCTATTAAATAAATTTTATGACCAACTCATGCTATTATATTACTGAAATCCATTACACAATCTCTTTTTTTTTTTTTTTTTTTCTTATTTTATCTTTAGTCCACCTTCAAATACACTTAAAACAAGTTATTGTTTACAAAAAGTACAACAAATTCACTTAAACTAGAATGTATAATTCTATAGTTGCATCGTGCATTCTATTCAAACTATTATAGTTATGCAATGCATAGTTATGTATAGTATACTTTTTGACATGTTTACTCAATCTGCTCAAAAAGTTTTCTATTTTTAAAGTCTTAAAATAATAGCTAAATAATAAATAGAATAATTAAGTAATTACCATTAAAAATTTATATTTTTATTTTTCAGCAACTAAATCTGGTCCAATGCGGGTTTTGTATGACAGTGTTAAAGAAGGTCATAAAATTAAAGTGTGGATAAGACGTTACAATGGTTTACGTGGTGTTGTTTCTGGGTATCTTATAGCATTTGATTTTCATATGAATTTAGTAATTATTTTTCTTTTTATAGTAATTTAATTTCTTTATAAAACAGTCAATTTTCTTATCGAGAATTAATTTTAATTTATTTTGATGAAAACAAATTTCGATTATAAATATTTTGTTTTACAATATTTAAGAATTGTTTATGTTTAAAATATCCAGGCTATGATTGATGTTTGCGAAACATATACAATTGAAACATGGATGGTTGGTCAACCAGTCCGAAATAAAAAGAAAAAAAAAGACGAATGTAAAACTGTTACTTCTACATGCAATTACACATCTGCACTTAATTTTGAAAAGAAATCTGCTGAAAATGTTTCTAATCAAAGCTTATCATCGACAACCATATTTTTCAAAGCTTTAACAGAAAAACTTAAAAGCTCTAGGAGCGACTCAGTTGTTAGTACTAAACCTAAGGACATTTCGTATTTAAATGATACTGTTATGGAGGTTTCAAAACAAAAGTATAGTGAAAAGGAGGAGACTAATGTTTCAAGTAATTTATCTGAAAAAAATGAAGCTGCCAATAATGGGACTCCATGTTTATCATTAAAAGATTTTTCCCCTACTTTATGGTCTATTTTACAGTCTGTCCCTAAAAAAGAAATGGAAAATCCTTGTCAATCTCCTGTTATTGAAGAGAGCGTTTCTGACTCGAGCTATAGTTTAGTTAACTCAATGTTAGAATTGTTGAAAACAAGAGCTGAGCTACCTAGAAATACAGAAATAGCACATTCTACTTTAAATAACTCTGAAAGAAAGAGTTTTTATGATGTTTCAAATAGTAAATTAAAAAATAATTTTTCGGACGATTCAACAAGTAAATTAGTCAAACGTCCTATTGAAATATCTTCTGATTATTCTGCATCTTTCTCGTTACTTTCTGGAAATTCAGATAAAATTTCATTTTCTTCTCATAAACATGTTCCTGACGTCATTTCTCCTGTTTCTCATTATATTGCTGCTACATCATCTCATTTTGCTGGTTTTCATTATGTTGCTCCTCCTGAACTAAATGCTTTTGAAAGTTTATCATACCAAAGTTTTACAGAAAATATCAAATCAGAATACGACAAAGACTTAAATTTAAACATTAAAACTGATGATTGTTGTAAGACCAATACAGTGTTTAATGAAAAACCAATGCAAGAAGGAAGTAACATTGAATTAGATCATGCTAAAATAAAAACAGCAACAGAAAGCAGTTGTCTATTCAAACCACAAAATCTTGAAGTTGTTCAACCAAATAAAGTTCGCCCTTTAGATCCTAGAATTAAAAGGGTTGAAAATATTGAAGTTAGTCCAACGGTAACTAAAGTCTTTGTCAGCGATCCAAAAATGAATAACATTATTAGCAATCCGACTCCTTTGTTAGTAAATAAAAATAGAAGTGATTGCTCTTTATCTATTTCAAAATCAGATTTCCAATTAAAGTTTAAAAAATCGTCAGACAAAATGTGTCTAGCTGAACGGAAGAATATGAATTGTCTGAATATGTCTGATGAAAAAAAAAAATCTAGTAAAACTGCCAGTTTTGAAATTGTTGACACTGTAATTGATAGTGATGACAACCAAAATGAGGTTACTGAGATTTTATGGAAAGTCAACAGCATAACCCGTAAGAATTAGGTTTATCATATTTCATTTGTTAATCCGTAAGAATTAAGTTTATACCAGGGCTGTGGAGTCAGAGTCGTGGAGTCGGAGTTGCGACATTTTCAGCGGAGTCGGAGTCGCTAAACAAAATCCAATAGTAAAGCTTATCGGTATTGCACATGCAATTAAAAAATATTTAACCTTCAAAGAATTTTTTATATATTTGGCAAAAAAAAAATTTTTAATTATCGCGTAATATTTTTTAAAAAATTCAAAGAATTTTTCAAAAATTTTTCTTCGGAGTTGGAGTCGGAGTTGAAGTCGGACTATGAAAATTTCAACGATTGGAGTCGGAGTTGGTACTTTTTTTTTTACGACTCCACACCCCTGGTTTATACATTTCATTTGTTAACCCGTAAGAATTGCAATCATTTAAAAATAATTTTTAAGATGTTTGCATTATAATTATAATTTTTTTTTTTTTTTATTTAAATTAAAAATATATTGCATTTTAGCATTCAGTAGCCGAAGATATGTTCATGATCAGGATTTGTTTGGTTCAGAAGCGTCTAATCTGGTTGTTAATAGTATGCTGATTCAAAAGGAACCCAGTATAGTATTAAAGAATAAATCAAATGAAAGTTTGTTATTATCATCTATAAAGTCTGATGACAAACTCCCTGTAAAAATTGATTTTATTCAAAGTGGCACTCTTCAAACTGAATCCATTATTGACCAAGTAAAAACAACAAAAAAATCAAGCAATGCATGTGTTTTGTCTAGCTCACGTAAAAAGGACTTTGCAGCTTGCTCAAATTCACTCACTAGGTCATTTCAGGATACAAAGTATAATAATTGCAGGTTTATTTTTTATTCAATAGGAAAACAATTACATAAAAAAAAATTAAAAACTTATGATTTACGCAATCAGTTCGAAAATAAAATAGTTTCTTCCTTTACTAAAATTACTCCTTGGTTTGAGGTTGATAATCTAGAAAACCCACACTCATTAGATGACGAAACTGGAAAAATAAGTTGTTTACCAGACTCTTTAGAAGAAAAAATAAATTTCAAATTACCAAATTTTTTAAATGACGCAATAGGTTTAAACTTGCCAGAGTCTTTGAAGAAGGAAAAAAGTTCCAATTTAACTTTAAATAAGGAACCCACTCATCGCTTAACAGACTCTTTAAATCACGAAATAACTTTCACATTATCAGATAAAGAAAAACCCCTGGATTTTGTAACTTTGCCAGAAATGCATTTAAATAACGATATTCAAAATATACCGCCGTCCACACAAACAATTGTTTCTAGTCATTGCTTTTTCGATGATAATTTGAAAATGGAAACGCATCAGTCTGATTTAACAGACTACTCACAAAAAGGTCAGGATCAATATAGTTATCCCCATACAAACGATGAAACAAAAGGTCAGGATCAGTATAATTATCTCCATAAAAACGATGAAACAAAAGTTCAGGATCAATATAATTATCTCCATAAAAACGATGAACTAAAAGTTCAGGATCAGTATAATTATCTCCATAAAAATGATGAAACAAAAGTTCAGGATCAATATAATTATCTCCATAAAAACGATGAACTAAAAGTTCAGGTTCAGTATAATTATCTCCATACAAACGATGAAACAAATATAGATAGAACTCATAATAAAAACACTGAAATTGTGAAAGATTTGATCGAGTTTTTACTTGAAAAAGTGTGTCAAAATCATTTTTACGAGAACAATTATAGTATGACTTGCAATAAAGTTTGTAATGATACCAGATTAAAACATGACTCTAATGTGATTTATTCTATTGATGATGATGAGTTAAAGTTTCAGCCTGGCAGTGTAATAGAAAATGCAAATTTGAATATTAAACAAAATGAATTAATCGGTGAATTAGATAAACAAAAAAACAAGCTAGAAATAAAATCATCAATAAACATATCATTTGACAAAAATAAAATCGATGAAATTCTAGAATGTAATGAAAACGAACGAAATTCAGCTTTTTCAGCAAATTTAACATCAAACTGTAGCATCAAGCCTGCATGCATGGAAAAAGACGAGTCATTTATCTTACATATAAAAAAGAATGTTTTTCGGACCAAGCCTCTTATATCTTCTATCGGCTCATTGAAGTGCAAGTCACTAGTTTGTGAATTTGAAGAAACTAAAGAGGACGGAGAGTTAACAGACAGCGAAGGCGAAGGTGTTGATTTGAATAAAATTGAGTTAAAAAAAGATAATGAAGAAAAGGATAAAAGTATTGGAGAGAGTCGAAAGAAAAAGAAGAATATAACACAAAATTATCAAGAAGATCAAACATTAAAAGAAAGTTTAAAGAATGTTATAACCAGTGTATCCGAAATAAAAAAGTGTTCTGTCAGGTATAGTAGAGATCTGTCTAATAATAGAGATGTGGATTATGGAGAAAATTTTGATTCTGAATATAGTAATGAAAATGTTTTTGTTAGTGACAAAAGTTCCTCTCTCAAGAATTTATCAAGTGCAGAAAAATTTCCTTTTATAAAAAATCTGGATGACAGTGAAAAAATATATTGTAAAGTAGTGACCAATGGGACAAAATCAGAAAAGTCAACTTGTGATAAATCATCTGAAAAATTACTTTGTGATAACTCTTCAGAGATATCATCTTGTGACAATTTATTAGAAATGTTTTCTTGTGATAAATCTTGCGATTCGGAATATCATAATTGTTCTAGAGATAAAAATCGAATATTAAGCAAACAGCAGACAAAAGAATTAAGCTCTCATAGAGAATGTGATAGGAAATCGAAAAACGAAATGAGTAGCACCGACAGAAGATTAAAAAGTGTAGGTACATTTGAAAATAATGATGAAAAGTTAATTTGTAAAAGTATAAGTTATGAAGAATTTAAAAGTGATAATGAAAAAAAGACTAATAAAAAGTTAGAAAACGAAAGTGGTAATGGAAAAAAAACTGATAAAAAGTTAAAAAACGAAAGTAATAGTTTTAAAAAAACTGAAAGAAAATCAAGTTGTGAACGAAGTAGTTATGAAAAATTGGATAGAAAATCGAAAAGCGAACGAAGTAGTTATGAAAAATCTGATAGAAAATCAAGTTACGAACAAAGTAGTCATAAAAAATTGCATAGAAAATCAAGTTGCGAACGAAGTAGTAACGAAATATCTGATAGAAAATCAAGTTGTGAACGAAGAAATTATGAAAAATTGGATAGAAAATCGAGAGGCGAACGAAATAGTTATGAAAGATCAGATAGAAAATCGAGTTGTGAACGAAGTAGTTATGAAAAATTGGATAGAAAATCGAGAAGCGAACGAAGTAGTTATGAAAAATCTGATAAAAAATCGAGTTGTGAACAAAGTAGTCATAAAAAATTGGATAGAAAATTAAGTTGCGAACGAAGTAGTTATGAAAAATCAGATAGAAAGTCAAGTTGCGACCAAAGTAGTCATAAAAAATTAGATAGAAAATTGAGTTGTGAACAAAGTAGTAACAAAAAATCAGACAGAAAATCGAGTTGCGAACGACGGGATTATGAAAAATTGGATAAAAAATCGAGGGACGAAACTAGCAGAGATGGAGGATCTGATAGAAAATCAAGTTGCAAAGAGGGCAGTTATGAAAAATTAGATAATAAATCAAGTCGGAAAACTGATTGTTTAAAAAAATCAAAAAGATATTCAAGTTGCGAAAGAAGCGATTATAAAAATTCAGAAACAAATTCAAATTGTGAAAGCAGTGTTTTAAAGAAATCTGTAAGAAATTCAAGTTGCGAAAGCAGCAGTTATGAAAAGTTGAATAAAAATCAGGAAAAAATTTTTCAAGAAAAATTAAGAATATCAAGAGGTGAACGTAGCAGCTGTGAAAAGTCGAAAAACAAATCTAAAGATGAAAGTAGTAGTTGTGAAAAGTTGAAAAACAAATCAAAAGATGAACGTGGCAGTTGTGAAAAGTTGGAAAACAAATCTAAAGATGAATGTAGTAGTTGTGAAAAGTTCGAAAACAAATCAAAAGGTGAACGTGGGAGTTGTGAAAGGTTGGAAAACAAATCAAAAGATGAATATAGTAATTGTGAAAAGTTAGAAAACAAATCAAAAGATGAACGTGGCAGTTGTGAAAAGCTGGAAAACAAGTCAAAGGGTGAAGGTAGCAGTTGTGAAAAGTTGAGAAACAAATCAAAAGGTGAACGTAGTAGTTGTGAAAAGTCGGAAAACAAATCAAAAGATGAATGCAGTAGTTATGAAAAGTTGGAAAACAAATCAAAAGATGAACGTAGCAGTTGTGAAAAGTTGAAAAACAAATCAAAAGATGAACGTAGCAGTTGTGAAAAGTTGAAAAACAAATCAAAAGATGAACGTAGCAGTTGTGAAAAAATGAAAAACAAATCGAAAGGTGAACATAGTAGTTGTGAAAAGTCGGGGAAAAAATCAAAAGATAAATGTAGTAGTTGTGAAAAGTTGGAAAACAAATCAAAAGGTGAACGTAATAGTTATGAAAAGTTAAAAAACATATCAAAAGATGAATGCAGTAGTTCTAAAAAATTTGACAATAAATCAAAAGGTGAATGTAGCAGTTTTAAATCATCGGAAAATAAATCAAACGGGAAAAAAAGTAGTTCTGAAAAATCTGACAGCAAGCTAAAAAGTTCTCAAAAGTTAGACAAAATATCCAGCTGTGAAAATGTCTGTCATCAAAGTTTGAAAGAAAAATCAAAAATTGAAGATAGCAATAAAAAGTTTTTTAAATACAGGAAATCATCTTCTGAAGACACTTCTAAATATAATACAGACAATTTCATATTTTCTGACTCTCCTTTACCTCCAACAAATAAAATCGAAATAAAATCCGATACAGAAAAAGATCTTCTTAGCCCAAAAAATTTATCAGATTTTTTACTCAAGGAAGAACAAAGTGAGATTTTTTTCTTTTATACTGCGGTTTTTTTTTGTTGTTTTTTTTTTTAAACATTAAGTTGATTTTTAAACATTAAGTTGATAGAGTTGCCCATATGAAACACCTAAGGAATAAATATTTTTTAACCAAAGATGGTTTAGCTATTTAAACATTTACGATTTCATTAATACAAGCAGACAACCCTACTATACATTTAACCATAATTTGATTTAATTGATTGCGCTGTTATTGGAAATAATTTCGGTTTTGCCAGGGCACTATTTTGTTCCAATCAAGGCAACCGGTTTCCGAAGTTGAAAAACTTTGATTTTTTAATTTGAACAGCTTGCTTCTTTTACAAAAAACCCATATATAAAATCAACAAAAATCATTTAAAAATTATTTTTATCTTCACAGTGACAGTTTAAATAATTCATTTAAAACTTATAATAGAATTAAAAATGCACAGGCAAAATAAAATTCTGCAAGTAATTAATTGTACAAAAGCATCAAGCTACGATGTTTTTTATATTTTATTAATTTAAAATCACTAAAAAAAGTTTTATTTTTGTGGTTTATGATAGTAGTTATATTTTTTTATATTTTATAAGAAAACTTTATAGTTAGGCTCAAGGAACTATTGGACAATATATATTGGATTTATATATATATATATATATATATATATATATATATATATATATATATATATATATATATATATATATATATATATATATATATATATATATATATATATATATATATATATATATATATATATGATCGTCGTAATAGCATAAAATAAGTAATTATTTTTAAAAATAACACGATGTTTTTTATTCTTGACATCTTTTGTAAAATTTTATTTACATTTTCAAAAGAATATTTTACAATAATAAAACTCTGAAATAAATATTAAGAAATCTTTGCAGAGAAATAATAACGGACAAAAATTTACATAATGAACCAATATATTTATTAGAAAATAACTCGGTAAATAACCAATCAAAATAACTAACTTTCAAAAAAATAACTTTCGTATTTAAATTGAAGGGCTTCTTTTATCTTTAATTTTTGTTTGGTTGGGGCATTATCCAAAATCTCAAAAGAATCACAGTTAGCCAAATTTTCACAATTAACAGGTAAATTTTAGTGTTTAAATATATGAGATTGTTTATCATTTTTAAGGTGCTTATTTAAATATTTACTTTAAATATTTATTACTTATTTTTAAAAATAATTACTTAAATTATTTGGGCTTATATATATATTTGGGTTTATTTATATATATATATATATATATATATATATATATATATATATATATATATATATATATATATATATATATATATATATATATATATATATATATATATATATATATATATATATATATATATATATGATTTAAAGGATAACATCTTGTGTGAGAGTATATTTATATATTATTTTAAAACATCAAAAATACGATTTCTCTCAACACTTATAATTTTTTTATTATTATAGAAATTTTCGCTGGATTTTAGATACCAGCTTCTTCAGCTTGTTAAATGTTACAGTAATTAATAAAATCGTTATAACGATTTTATTAATTACTATAACGATTTTATTAATTACTGTAACATTTAACAAGCTGAAGAAGCTGGTATCTAAAATCCAGCGAAAATTTCTATAATAATAAAAAAATTATAAGTGTTGAGAGAAATCGTATTTTTGATGTTTTAAAATAATATATATATATATATATATATATATATATATATATATATATATATATATATATATATATATATATATATATATATATATATGCAATTATTTAGTATTAAAATGAAAAAAATACAACTTTTTGTTGGTACTCAGAGTTTCATGCCATATATTTTTAAATCAAGAAATTAAAAAAACGTTAAAAATACAAATTACGCAATGCAATGAGATCTGACGTCAAAAAATCGATTAGATGAAGTCTACCTTTACCCTGTGTCGAATGGACAAAGAAGGAATTTATTTCTATGCCGACATTTCGATATAATTTCAGTTTTCTTATTTAATAAACTGTTGTCATTGTTTGAAATAATTTCATATTTTTCATTAATTCATAATTTGCACGATTTTCTTGTCAGGTTATATTATACTTCACATCTTCTAATTATTTTCCAAGCCACAGGATTTTTGTTAATATCTTTTAAGTTCCAAACCTCCTTTGACAGCTCTGTATCGTTTCTATACTTTGGGATATTAAATGATTTCAAATGGTTAGCATATCTCAGTTTAAAAGGTGTTTCGCTAATACTAATGTATACTTTTTTTATTGAAGGGTTATCCAAAGTGATGGTTGCTTGGTATAAATGTTGGCGGTCAAGCAATTATTGATTAAAGGACAACTGTTTTTATTAAGACAGTTGCAGTTATCTTTATTAATGATTGGATTTTTGTTTAGTATGTGCTTGTTGTGTAAATTTATTACTGATTTCATGTTTGGCATGCAACTGTAACTGATTTTTACAGTGTTCCTGTTGAAAATTTTATGTAGTTTGTTATTAATTAGAAAATATTTGGCAATCAAGTTTAAAAAGCATTTTCCTATATTGTGGTGACATTTATGCTAAAAGGAGGGTTGTACAATATTATTTTGTATGTATGGTTTTTCTTTTGTTGTTGTTTCAATTTTGTTTGGTAAGATAAATTATGTTTATAACCGAGTTTCGTAGTGTTTCATTATAAACAGATACAGATTTATTAAACACTTCTTTGCTACTAGGATTTCCAGACAATCTCAGTTCAACATTTTTAGATAGTTGTTTTAATTTACTAGGAGGGTAGTTAGATTGAGCATGTATGTAGTTTAAAGTATTATCAGGTTTGCTGTATGGTTGATAAGACTGGTCGCAGAGGTTAAGAGTTACGTCAATGTAGTTCACAATTTTGAGGTTGCACTGTATAGATATGTTAAGATTGTTACATTTGAATAAGTGCGTGATATATATTTTTAATTTTTACCAGTAGCATTTTTAAAAACTGCTAATCCGTCGTCGCGATAAAAGCCAAAGTTATGTTTGTTATAAAAATTTGAAATTTGAAAAAGAATGAATATTCCCACAAACTTATATATCTCCACACCATCAAACGAACCCATTGCAACGTCAAATAAACCTCCTGACTTTTTCATCCAAACCTGATCATTATTAAACAGTAAAGATTTCCTTGCATGAATAATAATTGACTTATTTTCTGTGCTTATAGTGACATGTTTTTTCGCAAAACTGATAGAGTTGTTAAGGAGTTTTTCACTAACTGAAGGGTAGAAATCGTTAATATCAAAAATGAGGAATTTATAAAGGTGTTTATCTTTTATATTTTTAAACCAATTGATAACATCTTGAGTGTTTTTCCACTGATTGTACTTTTTTTGCAATGTACTTTTTAGTTCGGAATTTAATTTTGAGAGAATGTCTTTACTAATTCTACCAATTTTATTTTTTGCCGGATTTATTAATCTAACTGTTGGATTGTTTATAAAATTAGTTTTATGGTCTTTTAACGTTATGACGCAGTTAGAAGATGCATTAATGTCAACTTTGTTAAAAATAGCATGATTCTCTAAAAGTTTTTTACTTTCTTTGTTTATTTGATCTTTTATTTTTAAATTAGCTTGTTTGTAGGTAGAGGTAATAGCGTTTGTTAACAAGTAGTTTTGATAAATTATACAGATTAAAAGTTTTATCAGCATAGGTATGACTCAAGTTAGATTTGCGGATGTTGGAAATATCGCTTTTTAGTCTACTTTGAAAACTGTTGGTTATTTTGTGGAACTTGATGTTTTTTATTACCTCTAATAAATCGTTTTCGAAAGCTAACAATTTGTTGATTTGCTTTAGACTATGCGATGTTTTTAACCCTTATGAACTATATTTAAAATCGTACTTACTTTGCGAACTATTGTTTAGATAAAAAAAGCCTTCCATTGCATTCTCTTAATCAAAGTTTTGGTTTTGTTCAAAAATTGTATTTTATAGTCTTTGATAGATGGAATTGGAATATTCTTGACTGAATATTTCAAGCTTGTTTTCTCCCATGTTAGGGCTGTACCAGATTTCGGTTCCGGCCGAAATCCGGCCATTTTTACAAATCCGGCTCAGGCAAAAATTTAGCAAATCCGGCAAAATTTTAATCGGATTTCTGAATTTTGGTCAGACATTTATTACATTTTTTTTGCCCGTGTTTTAATGTATACTTAATATTTTATTTATTCAAATTAATTTTCTTTGTAATTCTATACTCTATGAACTCCCTGTTTGCAATGGTATCTGTATTTACATTTTTTTACAATTTAATTAGTTAAGCCTAATTTTAAATAGCAACTCAACCAAAAATTCTGAAGGGAATACACACGATACTCTTAAGTGAAGAAACACGATAGAGTTTGAAATGAAGACATAAATTTGGTTAAATATACATTCAATAAAGTTATAGTGCAGAAGACATCGATGCAAGATGGAAGTCAATCTGAGCATGCTAAGCAGCAGATTGAAAAAATTGAAGAAATTGCAGCAAAACAAATCTGGCTGGGTAATTCTTCTACATCATCATCATTACTCTGACAATATATTGATAAAATTGACTACGTCCGCTGGAGGCACATGAACAACAATTACCAACACGGATTGACACTCAGCTAAGCCAGTATATGGCAGAACCAGAAATAAAGAGACACGCTGATCCATTATAGTGGAAGAGTGATAACATAAAGCAATTGCCAGCTCTGGCGATAGCAGCTCGCATTTATTTGGGTGCCCCACCGATAAGTGTATTATCAGAACGTATGTTCAGTATTGCTGGGGAGGTCCTCAATGATCATCGTAGTTCACTCCTGCCACATAATGTAGCTCGCATAATTTTCTAAAATGCAATTCAAAACTAATCAAAGATATTTTAGAAAAGTAACTGAAACTGAAGTTATTTTAGTTCACTTTCAAATTGAAAGTTTCAATAATTTATCAATTATTTTGTTA